GTTTCTCATTAAACAGTTAGTACACATATTGTTTTATGACAATGGTTAACAACCCCACGACATGTCAACACTGTCCATTCTCAACCTTGGATTCCCTATTACCAGATTTCCTGTCCCCTCCTGCGTTCTAGTCCTTGTCCCTGGACTGTTGTGCCCCATTAGTCTTGTTTTGTTTCATGGGGCTGTCTAATCTTTGGCTAAACGGTGAACCTTGGGAGTGACTTCATTACTGAGCTAAAAGGGTGTCTGGGGGCCATACTCTCAGGGTTTCTCCAGTCTTTGTTAGGCCAGTAAGTCTGGTCTTTTTTCTGTGAGTTAGAATTTTGTTCTACATTTTTCTCCAGCACTATCAGGGACGCTTTGTTGTGATCCTGGTCAGAGCAGTCAGTGGTGGTAGCCGGGCACCATCTAGTTGTACTGGACTCAGCCTGGTGGAGGCCGTGGTAGTTGTGGTCCATTAGTCCTTTGGACTAATCTTTTCCTTGTATCTTGTTTTCTTCATTCTCCCTTGCTCCCAAAGGGGTGAGACCAGTGGAGTATCATAGATGGCTGCTCACAGGGTTTTAAGACCCCAGACGCTACTCACCAAGGTAGGATGTAGAACGTTTTCTTTATAAACTGTGTTATCCCTTCACCAAAGTTACCACTTATCTATTGTCTATTTAGTATTTCCCCCCCAAACCTCCCATCCCTCATAACAAAAAAAGATTGTTTCTTTTTGTGTGTAAACCTTTTCATGAGTTTTTACAGTAGAGGTCTCATACAATGTTTGTCTTTTTGTGATTGACTTATTTCACTCAGCATAGCGTCCTCCAGTTTCATCCATGTTATGAGATGCTTCACAGATTCATCATTGTTCTTTAACGTTGCATAGTACTCCATTGTGTGTATGTACCATAGTTTGTTTATCCATTCATTTGTTGATGGGCATCTAGGTTGTTTTCATCTTTTTGCTATTGTGAACAATGCTGCAGTGAACATGGGTGTGCATATGTCTATTCATGTGATGGCTCTTGTTTCTCTAGGATATATTCCTAGGAGTGGGATTGCTGGATCATATGGTATTTCTATTTCTAGCTTTGTAAGGAAGCACCATATCGTTTTCAAAAATGGTTGTATCATTTTGCATTCCAACCAGCAGTGCATTAGAGTTCCAATCTCCCTGCAGCCTCTCCAACATTTGTTAGTTTTTGTTTTTTTGATTTGTGCCAGTAATGCCAGGGTGAGATGGTATCTCACTGTGGTTTTGATTTGCATTTCTCTAATGGCTAGTGATTGCGAGCATTTCTTCATGTGTCTGTTAGCCCCCTGAATGTCTTCTTTGGTGTAGTGTCTGTTCAATTCCTTGCCCTTTTGAAAATTGGATTATTTGTCTTTTTGTTGTAGAGGTGTTGGGTTTTCCTGTAGATTTTAGATATTAGACCTTTTGTCAGATTTGTAATAGTCAAATTTTTTTTCCCAGTCTGTAGGTTCTCTTTTCACTCTTTTGGTGCAGTCTTTTGATGAGCATTTTAAGTGTTTAATTTTTAGAAGATCCCAGTTATCTAGCTTATCTTCTGGAGTTTGTGTGTTGTTGGTTATGGTTTGTATCCTATTAATGCCGTGTATTAGGGTCTTTAACATTGATCCTATTTTTTCTTCTATGATCTATAAAGTTTTCGGTTTTATATTTAGGTCTTTGATCCATTTTGAATTAGTTTTTGTGTATGGTGTGAGGTATGGGTCCTGTTTCATTTTTTTGCAGATGGACATCCAGTTTTGCCAGCACCATTTGTTAAAAAGGCTATCTTTTCCTCATTTGATGGACTTCGGGCCCTTGTCAAACATCAAGTGACTGTAGGTGGATGGATTTACATCTGGGTTCTCAAATTCTGTTCCACTGGTCAAAGTATCTGTCATTGTACCAGCACCAGGCTGTTTTGACTACCATAGCTGTATAGTAGGTTCTGAGGTCAGGTACTGTGAGTCCTCCTACTTTATTCTTCTTCAATAGTGCTTTACTTATCTGAGGCCTCTTCCCATTCCATATAAAGTTAATGATTAGTTTTTCCATCTCTTTAAAAAATGTTGTTGGTATTTGGATTGGGATAGCATTGTATTTGTAAATTGCTTTGGGTAGAATTGTCATTTTCACAATGTTGAGTCTACCTATCCATAAGCATGGTATGTTTTTCCATTTATGTAGATCTCTTTTGGTTTCTTGCAGTAGTGTTTTGCAGTTTTCTTTGTATGGGCCTTTACATCCCTGGTTAGATTTATTCTTAAGTATTTTATTTTTTTAGGGGCTATTATAAATGGTATTGTTTTCCTGATTTCCTTTTCATCGTTCTCTTTATTGGTGTATAGGAATCCAACTGATTTTTGTATGTTTATCTTGTATCCTGCTACTCTGCTGAATCTTTCTATTAGTTCCAGTAGTTTTCTCGTGGAGTCTTTAGGCTTTTCTATATATGGTGTCATGTCATCTCCAAATAGGGACAGCTTTACTTCTTCATTGCCAATTTGGATGCCCTTTATTTCTTTTTCTTGCCTTATTGCTAGGACTTCCAGCACAATGTTAAGTAGGAATGGTGATAAAGGACATCCTTGTCTTGTTTCTGTTATCAAGGGGAATGTTTTCAGCCTCTTTCCATTAAGAATGATGTTGGCTGTTGGTTTTGTATAGATGCCCTTTATTATGTTGATGAATTTCCCTTCTGTACCTATTTTATTCAGCGTTTTTATCAGGAATGGGTGTTGGACTTTGTCGAATACCTTTTCTGCATCAATTGAGATGATCGTGTGATTCTTTTATTTTATTTTATTTTATTTATGTGGTGGATTACATCGATTGACTTTCTAATGTTGAACCATCCTTCCATACCTGGTATGAATCCTACTTGGTTGTGGTGTATTATTTTTTTTTTTGATATGATGCTAAATGCTATTGGCTAGAATTTTGTTGAGAATTTTTGCATGTATATTCATGAGAGATTCTGGTCTGTAATTTTCTTTTTTGTAGTGTCTTTGCCTGGTTTTGGTATCAGGGTTATGCTGGCTTCACAGAATGAATTTGGAAGTATCTCTTCCTTTTCTATGTTCTGAAATAATTTGAGTACTACTGGTGTAAGCTCTTCTCTGAATGTTCGGTAGAATTCTCCAGTGAAGCCATCTGGGCCAGGGCTTTTTTTTTGTTGGGAGTTTTTTTTATTACCTTTTCAATCTCATCTCTTGTTATGGGTCTGTTCAGATTTTCAACATCAATTTGTGATAGTTTTGGTAGGTAGTGTGTTTCTAGAAATTTATCCATTTCCTCTAGATTTTCAAATTTGTTGGAGTATAGTTTTTCATAATACTCTTATGATCCTTTTGTTTTAGTTGGGTCTGTTGTAATGTCACCCATTTCACTTCTTAATTGGGTTATTTGCGTCCTCCCCTGTTTTTCTTTTCTCAATTTGGCTAGTGGTTTGTCGATTTTGTTGATCCTTTCAAAGAACAAATTTTTGGTTTTGTTGGTTCTTTCTATTGTTTTTCTATTCTCTATTTCATTGATTTCTGCTCTGATCTTTATTATTTCCTTTTTCTGGTGGCTGTAGGCTTCTTTTTCTCTTCTCTTTCTATTTGTTCGAGTTGTGTAGCTAATATTCTGATTTTCTCCCTTTCTTCTTTTTTGATGTGTGCATCTATTGCTATAAATTGACCTCTGAGCACTGCCTTTGCTGTGTCCCAAAGGTTTTGGTATGATGTGTTTTCATTTGCATTTGATTCTAGGAATTTTTTTATTTGGTCTTTGATTTCTTCTATTACCCAATGGTTTTTAAGCAGAATATTATTTAGTTTCCATGTAATTGATTTTTTTCCTTGCTCTTCTGTTGTTTAATTTCTACTTTGATGGGGTTGTGATCAGAGAAGATAACTTTGTATATCTTAATGTTTGGATTTTGTTGAGGGTTGCTTTGTGGCCTAAGATGTGATCTATTCTGGAAAACATTCCATGTGCATTGAAAAAGGATGTGTACTTTGCAGCTGTTGGATGGAGTGCTCTATATATGTCTATGAGTTCAATTTGGCTGATTGTGGCCTTTAGATCTTCTGTATCTTTGTTGAGTTTCTTTCTAGATGTTCTGTCCTTTACTGAGAGTGGTGTGTTGAAGTCTTCTATGATTATAGTGGAACTGTCAATTTCTCTTTTCAGTGCTGTTAAAGTTTGTTTTATGTATTTTGGAGCCCTGTGATTGAGTGTGTAAATATTTTTATGGTTATGTTTTCATGATAGATCGTCCCTTTAATCATGATATAGTGCCCTTCTTTGTCTTTTATGGTGGATTTTGTTTTAAACTCTATTTTATCTGAGGTTAGTATTGCCACTCCTGCTCTTTTTTGTGGGCAGTTTGCTTGATATATTTTTTTCTATCCTTTGATTTTTAATAAATTTATGTCTTTGTTTCTAAGGTGTGTCTCTTGTAGACAGTGTATTTATGGATCCTGTTTTTTTAATCCATTCTGTCACTCTCTGTCTCTTTATGGGTGCATTTAGGCCATTTACATTCAGAGTAATTATTGATAGGTGTGAGTTTATTGCTGTCATTTTGTAGTGCTTTTTTTTGTGGTCCTGATGATTTCTTTGTTCCTTTTATTCTCCTCTGCTGAATTCCTTTTATTTGTGATTTTTTTTTCATTTCTTTTGTTTTTATAGGCTTTGTTTTTACTGGGACTTTATGTTTTTTTTTCCTTATTTTGATGAGTAGGTTTGTTAACTTTCTTTTGGTTACTTTAAAGTTTACCTTTATAGTCCTAGGTTTGAATATTATATTATTATTATATTGAATATTATTCTATTATAATATTATTCTTGGTATCACCTTGCCTTCCTGTCCATTAGAAAGTTCTATACCTACACTGTTTATTCCTACTTTTATTGTTGTGACGTTGTTGTCATTTGCAGATTAACCTCTCTGGTTCCCTGTTGTAAATGTTTTGGTTTTGAGTAGTCCTTGAGAGTTCATTTCCTAGGTTGGTGTAAAAATATGGAATGCTTCATGAATTTGTGTGTCATCCTTACACAGGGGCCACGTTAATCTTCTCTGTATCATCCAGTTTTAGTAAATGTGCTGTGGAAGCAAGCACTGTTTTGTTTTTTTAACCTAAGACTTTAGAGAAACTAGATAAGAGATTTTTATATGTTGAGGTTTTGTTTTGTTTTTTAAAATCTTCCTGTTTTGTTGGAGGGGTAAGAGTGAGAGGAGGGAAGTTAATACCTATGTAATACATAGAAATTTCTAAAATAAAATGCCATAGGTGGTTTAAAAAAATCCTAGGCAAAATGATCAGGTAAAAAAGATATCAGTAATGACTGAGGGGACAGTACTACAGATCTCACAGGCTTTAAAAGAACAACAATGGAATATTATGAACAACTTGATGCCAATAAATTCAACAACTTAGAATAAATACACATATTCCTTGAAATACATAAACTACTAAATCTCACCCCAAAAGGAATAAATAACCTGAATAAACACATATAAATTAAATTTGTAGTTTAAAACCTTCCCATAATGAAAACTTAAGGCCGAATTGGCTTCATTAATGAATTCTACCAAAAATTTAAGGAAAAAATATCACTTCTACGTAAACTCTTCCAGAAAAGTGAAGAGGAAGAAACATTACACAACCCATTCTGTGAGGCCAGAATTAAACTGATGATAAAATCAGAAAAAGAAATTACAAATAAAGAAAACTACAGACCAATATTCTTCATGAACATATACACAAAATTCTTAACAAAGATTTATCAAGTAGAATCCAATAATATATAAGTAGATCATCATAACCAAGTGAGGTTTTATCTAAGGAATCAAAAGTTGGTTTAATATTCCAAAATCAATCAATGTAATTTAAAATATTAACGGAATAAAAATAAAATCTGTAGGACCGTGTCAACTGAGGCAGAAAAGCACTTGAAAAAATTCAACACCCATTCATGATAAAAAATCTCACCAAACTAGGAATAGAAGAAAATATCCTCAACCTGATAAAAGGCAGCTAAGGTCGGCAGTTCAAATCCACCAGCCACTCTTTGGAAACTCCATGAGGCAGTTACTCTGTCCTATAGGGTCACTATGAGTCAGAATCGACTCAAAGGCAATGGGTTTGGTTTTTTTTGTTTTTGTTTTTGGTAACATCATAATCAATGGGGGAAGACAGAATGCTTTCTCCTTAAGATTGGCAAAAAGGCAAGAATGTCTGAATTCCCTACTTCTATTCAACATTGTGCCCTTGCAATATAGTAAGAAAACAAATAAAAGGTATACAGAATACCAAGGAAGAAGTAAAACTGTCTTTTTCACATCTGACATTATGTAGAAAATTCTCAGGAATCTACAAAACTACCAAATGAGTTTTTCAAGGTTGAAGGGTACAGAAATCAACTATTCCTATATACTAGCAATTAACAGTCAGAAATTGAAATAAAGGATACTATTTACAATAGTATCACAAAATATAAAATACTTAGGGATAAATTTGACAAAAGATATGCAAGACTCATACATTGAAAATTACAAAACATTCCTGAGAGTAATTAAATATCTAAATAAATGGAGAGATATCCTACGTTCACAGACTGGAAGATTCAATATTGCTAAGATGTGTAAATTAACAACCTGATTCTAAAATTTATATGGAAATGTAAAGGACCTGGAACAGCCAAAACAACTCTGAAAAAGAACAAAGTTTGGGGACTTACCAGTACCAGTTGCCATCGAGTGAATTCCGACTCATGGTGACACCATGTATGTCAGAGTAGAACTGTACAGTTTTCAATGGCTGATTTTTTGGAAGTAGATCTCCAGGCCTTTCTTCCAAAGTGCCTCTAGTAGACTCAAACCTCCAACCTTTTGCTTAGCAACCAAGCAAGTGAAACGTTAGCACCACCCAGAGGATTTACACTACCTAATTTCAAGCTACAGTAATCAACATGGTGTGGTATTGGTGTAAAATCAATGAAAAAGAAGAGAGTCAAGAAATAGACCACACACATATGGTCAATTGATTTTCAACAAAGATATAAATGCAATTCAATGGGGAAAGAATAGTCTTCGATATATGGTACTAGAACAATTGGATAGCCATATGTAAAAAAAAAAAAATTGAACCTTGACAATTACCTCACAACATATAGAAATATTAACACAAGATGGACCATAAACCTAAATGTAAAACCGAAAACTATAAAAATCTATTGAAGAAATCATAGGAGAAGTTCTTAGAAGAACACAAAAAGCGTAGATATAAAAGAAGCATTGATAACTTGAACTTCATCAAAATTAGAAAGTTTTGTTTTTCAAAAAGATATTGTTGTTAGTTGCCATCAAATCGGCTCCAACTCATGGTGACCTTAACGTAGAATAAAACGAAAAGTTACCCAGTCCTGTGCCATCTTCATGATCGTTGGTATGTTTGAGCACATTGTTGTGGCTATTGTGTCAATCCATCTCCTTGAGGGTTTTCCTTGTTTTTGCTGAGTCTCTATTACCAAACATGATGTCCTTTTTCTAGCAATTGGTCTTTCCTGATGACATGTCCAAAGTAAGCAAGCCGAAGTCTTGCCATCCTTGCTTCTAAGGAGCATTCTGGTTGTATATCTTTTAAGACTGACTGATTTGTTCGTTCTTCTGGGAGTGCATGGTATTCAATATTCTTTGCCAACATTGCCATTCAAATGCATCAATTCTTCTTCTGTCTTCCTTTTTCATCGTCCAGCTTTCGCATGTATACAAGTCAATTGAAAAGACTATGCCTTGGGTCAGGTTCACCTTAGTAATCAAAGCAACCAGTTTGCTTTTAAAACTTTAAAGAAGTCTTTTGCTACTGCGCCACCAGGCCTCGCTCCTCTTTTGCAGCAGATTTCTCAAACTCAATGTCATTTGATTTCTTGACTGCTGCTTCCATGGACCTTGATTATTGATCCAAGTAGAATGAAATCATTAACAACTTCAAATTTCTCTTCGCTTATCGTGATGTTGTTTATCAGTCTGGTTGTGAGCATTTTTTCTTCACGTTCAGGCATAACCGATAGTGAAGGCTGTAGTCTTTGACCTTCATCAGTAAGTGCTGCAAGTCATCTTCACTTTTGGTAAGCAAGGCTGTGTTAGCTGCGTATTACAGGTTGTTAATGAGTCTTCTTCCTGTCCTGATGCCATGTTCTTCTTCATATAGTCCAGTTCGTGGCTATTTGTTCAGCATACAGATTGAATAAATAAGGTGAAAAGATACAACCCTGCCGCACACCTTTTCCGGTTTGGAACCACAAAGTATCCCCTTATTCTCTTTCAAGGACTGCCTCTTGATTCATGTACAGATTCCACACAAGCACATTTAAGTGTTCTGGGATTCTCATTCTTTGTAATGTTATTTGTAATTTTATGTGATCCACACAGTTGAATGCCTTCGGGTAGTCAATAAAACACAGGTAAACATCTTTCTGATATTCTCTGATTTTCGCCAAGATCCATCTGACATCAGCAATGATATCCCTCATTCCACACCCTCTTCTGAATCTGGCTTGAACTTCCGGCAGTTCCCTGTCGATGTACTAATACGGTAATTTTTAAATTATCTTTAGCAAAACTTTGCTAGCATGTGATTTTTTTAAATAATTTATTGTATTTTTATTGTTATTGAAAATATACATAGCAAAACATACACCAATTCAACAATTTCACATGTACAATTCAGTGACATTGATTACATTCTTCAAGTTGTGCAACCATTCTCACCCTCCTTTTCTGAGTTGTTCCTCCCCCATTAACATAAACTCACTTCCCCCTAAGGTTCCGCTAATCTTTTGAGTTGCTGTTGTCAATTTGATGCAATATAGATAGATCTTTAAAAAACACAATGCTCAAGGCAGACATTTTTTACTAGTTAAGCTGAGCTACTGTTTGGTTTTAAGACTTTAGAGGATATTTTTGATTTAAAGATTATCTCAGGGCATTAGTTTCAGAGGTTCATTCAGCCTCCATTGCTCTAGAAAGTCTGAAGTCCATGAGAATTTGAAATTCTATTCTGCATTTTCCCCCTTTTTATCAGGATTCTTCTATAGAATCTTTGATCAAAATGTTCAGTAATGGTAGCCGAACACCATCCAGTTCTTCGGATCTCATGGCAAAGGAGGCAGTTGTTCATGAAGGCAATTAGCCACACATTTCATTTCCTCCTCCTGTTCCTGACTCTCCTTCTTCCTCTATTGCTCCAGACGAATAGAGCTCAAACTAGTGTGTGATATTAATGACATTGTTTGATAATTTCCACATTTTGTTTGATTGCCTTTCTTTGGAATGGGTACAAATATGGATCTCTTTCAGTTGGTTGGCCAGGTAGCTGTCTTCCAAATTTCTTGACAGACAATACGTGCTTCCAGCGTTGCATCCGTTTACTGAAGTATCTCAATTGGTATCTTAGCAATTCCTAGAGCCTTGTTTTTTGCCAATACCTTCAGTGCAGCTTGAACTTCTTCCTTCAGTGCCTGCAGTTCTTGTTCATATGCTACCTCCTGAAATGGTTGAACATCAACCAGTTCTTTTTGGTACAGTGACACTGCTTTCCTTCCAATTTCTTTTGATACTTCCTGTGTCATTCAAGTTCTTGCCCACAGAGGCTTGAATTTTCTCTTCAGTTCTTCCAGCTCGAGACATACCAGCCACATTCTTCCCTTTTGGTTTTCTAACTCCAGGTCTTTGCACATTTCATTATAATACTAAAGATACTGTTATGAAAATTGCAAAATCAGTTCTTCTGACCCTAACTACTTGGAGAGGCCAAAATTCACAGGTTAAGGGCACAATCTTCCACAAGACTGTCCTCACTTCAGACACCAGCTTCAAGCTCAAGGGTTCCCAGGCCGTCTGCACTTCTGACCAATCGGTTACAAATTCCCACTATTCCCTCAGAATACCAGCCATAAGTTAGAGGGCTCCCAGGGCCACCCTCACATCTGACCGACTGACTGTAAATTCAGAGGTTCCCACTACCCTCTCAGGACACCAACAATAAGCTTGGAGATTCCCAGGACACTCAAACTTCTGACCACCTGGCTACAAATTAGGGAGTTCCCACTACCCTAT